TCCAGGTAATTTACAGGATCTTTGTAGACAACCGTCAACCTTCAACCAGTGTTACTCAACTGTCAACGAATACCGAACTCCAAGCCGATTTTGGTGGATGAAGTAGAAGTAGAAGTAGAAGTAGAAGTCAGGGCAATCAATAGACAAACATTCCAAAAGAATTTCCTAACAGCTAAAAGATTCTTCCTGCAAATGGCCTGATGGCCACATACACATGTCTCTGCCTACCATCGCCTACCCTCGGGCAGTAGGGTCATTCATCCATGTTACGTGCCTAAGCCATCTGAAGGATCCTTAGGCGCAAGGTCTTCCCAGTCAATCTAAGCAATATGTTTTTTTCAAATGATCCATTGTCGACCTAGTCGTCCCCGATATCTATAATGAAACATATTAGGACCGATCTGACGATTTCAGGATTCCAAATATGTGCGAGGTCTCAGTATCAATTATAGTAGCTAGCCGCTGAAAGGGCCGCTCTCAATGCTTACGGATCGCCTCAGCGCGGCGGCTTCAAAGGCCCAAGTTCAAAAGTCATTATGCGATTTTCTCCAGATAGATTACGTGGACTTCACATCCGTACCATCCCCGCCGGCCACGCAGCTGCTCGCTACTTGCGAATGACCTGAAAATGGAAGTTCCGGCCCCACTTCTCTGAGCTACCCACCCCGAGCACTCCCAGATGGATCCAGAGCTCCGCCAGCGCCAGAGGTGGTTAGTTCGTTGGAAGTTGTTAGTTGCAGTTACATTGTGGAAGGAATGCGGAGATGGAAACGTAAATTCGGGCCAAGCAAGTGAGCAAGTAGACATAGCTCGAGCTACCTGGATATCCAAGTTGCTGCATGTGATGAACTAAGTAAAGAACGGAAAGGAGAGTCCAATTGTGCAGTCGTGCAATCGTACAAGTATATTTTTGCATCTGTACCAGAGGTCGGCAAATCGGTCTCTACGGCTGCGGGAGGGCAAAATTTCGGTCAGTAAACCTAGAAGTCAAACACAGAGTTCAAGTCCAGCGCGCGGCCCTACTCGCCGCAATAGAGGCTGCGAGGCAAACCACGTCTTATAGTCAAATTTTGGTCATTAGGGACCCGCAGCCCTACGGGGCCTTAGGCCGAATTTCGGCCGCGGGTACTGTGGTACGGACCCGCAGTACCCGCCTTATTTGCGACCTCTGATCCGTACCTCAAGATTCCTGGCGTATCGTATGGACCCCAGGTACACGGGTTCAAAGCCAGTTGTCGAAATGACCTCCTCGACCAGCGCCTTATTTTCGGAGCTCCCCGCGAACATCATAGTTAGTTGCTGACCGTTGAGACTGGAGCCGTCACCCTGGGCCATCAGATTGGCGCCTGTGTGGGCGTGAGGACATGCGGGCGCGCGGATGCGAGGATGAGGAACGGAAACTGGAGTAGGAAAGGAATCGAAAATGAGAATGAAACTAGGAATGAGCATGGGAATAAGCATAAGTGCCAAAGTCAAAGTTTGTACTAACAGACTGCTTGCCGTACCCACCGATGGTGTTGAAGGCCTTGTACACAAATGTGTCGGGCAGCTCCTCGGCCAGGAGCTCGCCAGCTATGTACATAGGTCCAAGCACACGTGTTTAGATAAGTGTGCGAATGCTAAAATTTTGCATAAGCATTTTATGGGGAGCGGCTCGTGTAGAGAGGAAGAGCGAGGGTCCTTTGTATGTCGTAATCGGCCAGCATGTGCTCGTAGCCCAGGAATTACTCCATATGTGTTATGGTGTTTACTTCTGGGTGTAGATGTATACCGCGCGCAATCTCGTAGACGGCATCGGATATATCACGTGAACCTCAACATTGCAAAGCGCACCTGACTTTCCAGTCCAACGGACCTCCAGGCCCGGATAGGGCGAAAGTGGATTCGTCGCATCAATCAAAACCTTGCCCTTGATATCAGCACCAAGGTCTGACGCAATGGCCTTGATTCCGGCATCGCTGTGCGCGCCTGCGCAAGTATCCGCGCAAAAAAATGTATGTAAAAAACGCTTTTTTTCATGCACAAAGCACTATAGAGCCATATAGAATCGGGTCAGACCTGGAACTGCGAGTACCACCACGTCGCTGCTTTTTACAGCTTCCGGAACAGTAAGCACTGAAACGTTTTCTAGTCCTGCCAAGTCGGCATACTTTGCGACATTTCTGACGCCGAATAGAACCGAGTGCTTCTTTGCTATGGCCTTGCCTAGCGTCTGCCCGACACTGCCAGCACCGATTATTCCGACTTTCAAAGTCATCCTTGTGTCATTACTGTAATAAAACAACAGGCGGTCATGACGATGCAACTCTTTAGTGGTGCGCCATTCGAATACTTTTAACATAAGGCCCTTGGCCTGGACCTTCGCTGAACGATGGCCGGTTGCCTTGTGGGCAGCGTCCAAGGGCCATTGCAAGCGTCAACGTCATTACAAGTTCCGCACAAGTTAGCGCCTCTCGCAGGATTCGATACGCCGAGTGTTGCCCCGCCGCCAGTGCGACCTCAGTCACCGTACATCCCGCGTTATCCCTGGTGGTCCTGCTGGCGCCCTGACACAGCAGCACCTCCACAGCGGCCACCAGGCCCAGGCAGGCTGCGGTGTGCAGGGGTGTCCCCCACATGGCGGGATCTCGTTCCGTGTTGGGCCCACTGGTTGCGGCCGCCAGCAGTGGCAGCAGGTGCACGTGCCGCCATAGAACCGCCAATGTCAAGGTGCCACGGCCGGACTGCAAAATCACACATTCATACATACATATATGCAAAATCATACATTCATACATGCATACAAGCAAACATCTGTACGCATGTAAGCACCTGGCGGTGGTAAGTGGTGATGGTGGAGAGGACTGGCAGCTGTGAGATAGACCTGCAGGTGGACCAGGGGAGACAACCGCCTGTCTGTCTGTCTGTCTGACTCATGAATGGGTACATCATTCAAACGAGCTTG